CCTGGCTGTGAGGAGGTTTCGGGGTGAGTGAATCACAGCCTGCCAGAGCCTGGAGGGAGCCTGCAGGAAAGATGGAGAGAGGCTATTTACAGGGGCCTGGAGTGACAGGGAATGACTTCAAACTGAGAGAGAACAAGTTTAGATGGGATATTGGGAATAAATCCTTCCCTGTAAGGATGGGGAGGCCCTGGCACAGGGTGCCCAGAGAAGCTGTGGCTGCCCCTGGATCCCTGGAAGTGTCCAAGGCCAGGTTGGAGGGGCTTGGAGCAACCTGGGCTGGTGGAAGGTGTCCCTGCCCATGGCAGGGGGTGGAACAAAATGAGCTTAAAGTGTCTTCCAACAACCCAGTCTATGATTCTGTGGTAAGTGCAAGAGCAAACACCAGTGAATTTGTCTTGGTGTGCTTGGAGAATGTCCTTTTGTGGCCTAATATCAGTTAATCAGGGATACTGTTTAAAGGAGGTCATGACATAGAGTTCTAAGTTTTGTGGTCTTCCCTGGATGACAAGTTCCTTATTGAGGTCAGCCAGGATTAATGGCTCCTGCCAGCTATTCCTCTCACACCCTCTTGTGTTGAAGATAGATGAGTGGCTCAGAAGACTGGCTTTTAAGAAAGTGGTGTAAAGTGTTTCCTGATGATTTGAAAATGTTTATATAATATTTTTTTAATTTGTCCACAGTAATTTATAGTCTTTTCTTTTCTTGCATATTTTAAATTTATTTTATAGAAATTTAAGTGAGAACAACAAAGACGTGTTTGGAGGTGTTGCTTAAGAAAAATTCCGTTTTAATGGAAATTACTTGTGGAGTTGAGATTTGGGCATACAGGAGAAAGTAAAAACTCATGCTTGCTTTGCTGCAGATGTTCATGTGATTGGGCTGCTCAAAGGCAGTGTCAGAGTGTTCCTGCAGCACTGGGGGCCCACAGATGCTTTCCTTGAATTAGTCTTGCAGTAATAAGCAATTAGTAAGGGCGGTGGCATGCAGCCCAAACAGGAAGCCTCAGATCAGAGTGTTCAGTTCTGTGTACAAACATCTCTGCTTTCACCTAGCAAGGTGTGCTGAAAATGCACATGCAGGCAGCCACCCATGATGAACAAAACCGAGGATTCAGTGAGGACAACAATCTATTTATAAAGGAGCTGCTGTTTGAGAGTGCTGGCTAACTTCCTGCTTTTTTTTTTTCCTCTAGTCATTGTGGTGTTGTTTGTGACACTGAAAAGGCAGAAAAAGGAACCTCTGATCGTTTTTGAAGAAGAAGACGTGCGGGAGAACATCATTACCTACGATGACGAGGGTGGAGGGGAGGAGGACACGGAGGCCTTTGACATTGCCACGCTGCAGAACCCCGATGGCATCAACGGGTTCATCCCCCGCAAGGACATCAAACCCGAGTACCAGTACATGCCCAGGCCGGGCCTGCGGCCAGCGCCCAACAGCGTGGACGTTGATGATTTCATCAACACGAGAATACAGGAGGCTGACAACGACCCAACTGCTCCTCCTTATGACTCTATCCAGATCTATGGCTACGAGGGCAGAGGCTCAGTGGCTGGGTCACTCAGCTCCTTGGAGTCAGCGACCACAGATTCTGACTTGGACTACGACTATCTACAAAACTGGGGACCTCGATTTAAGAAACTTGCAGACTTGTATGGCTCCAAAGACACTTTCGATGATGATTCTTAACAATAAAGTTTAAGATTTGGCCTTAAGAACTGTGTCCGGTGTTCTGAAGAATCCAGAAGAAATGTTAGCAGGTATTTTTTTAAAAATCAAGAAAAATCTCATTTAAACATTTAAGTTTGACAGAGAGGATTCCTTTGATAGAAAAGGACATAAAAGTGGTAAATACTGTGAAGTACCTTTTCCTACAAAAGGCAAATCTAGAAGTTGGCTGCCAGCTTCACTAAAGGAAAAAACCCACTTAAGAAATACAAAATATTTAAATGAAGGAAAATGCTAAAAGTGAACCTACAAACAAGGGAAATCTTTTATGTATTATGAACATCTAAACCTTTTACATCAAAGAAGCTTCCACAAATTAGAAAAGATAACAGTTCTGAGCTGTAATTTCGCCTTAAACTATGGACACTCTATATGGTAGTGCATTTTTAAACTTGAAATATATAATATTCAGCCAGCTTAAACCCATATGATATATGTACAGTACAATGTACAATTATTATGTCTCTTGAGCATCAAACTTGTTACTGCTGATTCTTGTAAATCTTTTTGCTTATACTTTCATCTTGAACTAATACGTGCCAGATATAAAAACTCTGTCTTGTTGCAGTGGGAGGAGCCCTATTTCTATGTCATTTTTAATGTATCTATTTGTACAATTTTAAAATTCTTATTTTAGTATACATACAAATATCAGTATTCTGACATGTAAGAAATGTTACAGCATCACACTTATATTTTATGAACATTGTACTGTTGCTTTAATATGTGCTTCAATATAAGAAGCAGACTTTGAAATAAACTGATTCTTTTTTAATTCTTGTTCTGGTTATTAAGCATATAAGGAAGAACATAGTGTTTCTAATGTCCCATTTATAGTTCTGACTAATTTACTACAGTTGTGACCTTTTAATAGCCTTATTTATTATGTGTTTGTAGTTGGTTTGTTGCCTTGTTAAGTGATTATTTAAAAATCAAGTACATTTTTCAAATGTTTTTTAGATTAAAAAAATGTAACGTCTGGTGACCATTTTGTACCCTCTCTATCTCCAGCTTGTGGCTGCTCCCAGAACACAGGAAGAACAGTCATATAAGACTACTGTGTTTTCTGGATTAAATTAAGTGTAATACTTTTCAATATTCCCCATGTAATATGCATTTATCTTATATCTTAGGAATTCCAGAGGTCTCAGAAGTGACTTTGTAGGTGGACAGGAGTGCTCTGTACTTACAATGCACTCCAGGCTTGTGAGCTCCCCTACCTGTGCTAAGCTTCTGCAGGTTCCAGAGACTTAAACCTGACCCACTTTAGCTGTAAGTTCCCTAAAGACTGTTCTACCTGACAATTACCTTACCCCAGTAGTAATTAAGATTCCAGCACTTACTCTTTTTTTTTTTTTTCTTTTTTCCTTTTTATTTTTTTTCAGTAGCATCTGCGGATAGGAACACATTTACCTTGTGACCACAGAAATGCAGAAACACAGAGAGTTTTTGGAACTGGGCTTTGTAAGGGATGTTTTTAATCGAAAAAGTGATCTATAACTTTTTTTTTTTCTTAGTTCAGAAGGAACAAGGGGTTGGAATATGTTCTGTGCATCGACATTTTCTGCATTTGTGTACTGCTGTACTTCTGCTGCATTTAATTCAGTTGGCTGCTTAGGGTCAGAGATCAGCAATATGGGAAGAGGCAATAAGTAGATCTGATACACATTTTCTTACTGTTCATATTACACACCCTGTCCTTCATTTGCAGTCAGGTACCAAACAGCTTGATCTGAGAGGAAACCTGATTTGCTGGTGTATTACTTTTCTGAAGACCCCCAGTTACGCACTTAGATTAAAATTTAACTCCTTAAAATTATGACTGGTGTTTCAGCTCTATATCCATAACATATTCACTTGTCCCATTATATCCCCATGTTTTATAAGGCAGAGTTTGCTAAATCAGCAGATTTGCTCTACAACGTTTATTGTAGTATTTCACTTTTTTATAGCTGTATGCATTCTATATAATTCTATAGTTTATTATTAACTCGGTTCGAATTTCTTTGGTTGTTGTTTTTTCTCTGTTTATAATCCAAAGAGTATTTTGCTAGATTTGCACATTTCTCCATTATAAATTTAAATGAACATAAAAAAAAAAGAATAAATTAGTAACAATTTACAAATTAACAAATTGAAATAAAGCAAAAAAGTAATTTGTAGGACTCCATCCTCATTGATGCTATCTGGGTTTATTTCACTTTTGAGCAAGTTTTAGAATTAATAACTGAATTTTCTACATTTTTATGTTTAATTTTTTAAGAAGGACATTGTCAACTACATTTTTTTAAATAGTTTTAAATGCTTTGAGTTTTAGTCTCTATTGTTTGTAGCACTCTCATAGATGCTTGGAAATAAATTTTCTTTCCCTGCTGGTTTTGTCCTTTTTCATTTGATTATTTTTTCCCCCTTGCCAGTGAATATGCAATTTTCATATTGTTTTATGAAGTCAGGCTTACTAATCTCGGCCAGCACCACCTCTGAAATGCTGGGAATTCCCCTCATTGCGTGTCATCTGCAGCACCTCAGCCCACCAGCGTGTTTTGGCACAAGAACGGGACGTTTCTTTGTGTTAAACTCCCCCGCAGCACTCGGGGAGTGTCGGGTTTATACTCTGAGAGTGCAAAGCCAGCCCAGCAGTCCCAGGTCAGTCCCGGCTGTCGAGGCCGTGGCTGGGCCGGGGTTTGTCGCAGCATCCCCGAGGATCTGAGCGACCTGGGAAGGACTCGAGTCACGCCAGTGGCTTTAGCACAGGCCGTGTCTTCCTGCCAGGGCTCAGGGAAGGACTGAGCCTCACACCCATGGAAGGAACTGGAGGCTAATTACAACTGGAGGATAAAGGAGGATCACCACGGCGAGCCAGGTAAGGCAAGGACAGCGAGAGCAGGTGGGATACTGGCCATCTTCCCCCTCTCAGGAGCGCTGAGACATCGCTTAGGGGGACACAACAAAACCCCTCCAGATACCATCAATGGAGTGTTACCAGGAGTGATTCCTTGTGAGCTGAGTGCATGTGTGAACAAAATCCTCAGCTCCCTGTCTGTCTGAGGATCCCCAGGGCTGGCATCTGAGCGGGGCTGAGGAGCTGCTGCCTCCCGAGCACCCGCAGTGCATCCCAGCACCAGCCCTCATCCCTGGCAAGAAACAATTAGCTATGCAAATGCAGGGCCTGTTGCTAAGGGAACTCTGCAAACTTACACCGATAGGGCAGGGGAGGGTTTGTCTGGGAATTCTTACAATGGCCTCTGTCACGTTCTTACCGTGATGTCAAGCAGTATTTGGTACCATGTCGAGGGGTACAAGCCTGCAAGCTCACCACCAACACTGATGTGGTCTTGTGTGAGTCCTACCACAGAGACTGCTACACCAGAAAAGCTTCCTAAGAGCTTACATGTTTTCTTGGCTCCATATTGTTGACTGACAAAGTAAAATGCTGAATTTTACCATGTTGCTGCTGATAAACTCGCAGAGAAAGTATGAAGGAATTTAAATAAAGCTCACAAAGAGGCAGCCTTAACCTTCTGGGACCCAAAAGCCTGCAATTCTTTCATGTCTTCCCCATCCAGCACCATTCTCAGAATGACATGTTTTTATTGAAAGGGTCAGTACACAAAAATCTACAAAGGCCCTGTGTAGGTTTCTCCTTTGGCCATTGATTAAAATGCTGAGCCACTGTAAAGTTGAACAATTGGCACCAGAGTCACACTGTATTTAAAAATAAAATTAAAGCAAAAAGAGAGAGAAGAAAAAGGAATGACTTGGAAAGGAAATGAGTGAACTTGTCAGAGTGAATTAGCTGAAGGTCTCTGGACCTCTGCTATTGTTTTCATTCATTTGAGCTGAGACTGGGGCTCAACCAGTTTGACCCAGTTCCATGCCCAGCATGCTAGTGCACAAGGTTTCCATTATTTAATATCACTGACCTCTGCATCTGATACTTTCAAATTTGCATCTTTCCATTCTGACTGAGCTGGGCTGGCTACAATTACTGAAATCACATGAGCCATTTCAGCCAACTCCAATTTATAGATTCACAGTCATTTGAAAAAATTGTTTCTTGTTTCTGCACAAAGTCCTGGGCCTTGCCTGCTCACCAGCTTGAGCCCTGTGGTTTTTCACTCCCTCCCTTAATTAACTGCAAACCCCACTTCCAAAATTAGGTCTCCAGTCTGTAGAGCAGGGGGAATATTCCATATTTTGCTGTGGAAAGAAAACCCAGAACACAAAGAGGGAGAGATTTACTTGGACTGTGTGTGACACTCAGACTTCTTTCCAGGTCAGAGAAAGGTCCTTCTCAAGAGTCTTTCAGACTTTCGGGTGAAGTCAATGTTGTGTTCTATAAATAATTAAATATTAACCCAAGCAGTGAATTGAACCTGAGATTTTCAAAGTCCTTGTGAGTTCTCTAAATGCCAGACTCAAAACCTGGTAGTTTTTTTTTGTTTTTTTTTTTTTTTTGGCTTGTTTAGTCCATTTGCAGTAGCTCATAACTGCATCAAGAACACCAACAGCTGAAACACCAGCCATGGCTTTGGGGGAAATCTGCTTTGGAGGGACAAATTAATAGTGGTGATGGGGATAATTGGCTACTACCCCATCCTGCCAGGGGGTGAGGAGGAATAGACACATCTCTGATCTGCATTTCTTTTTCCTTTTATGTTTGTAAAATCAGGACCAATACCTAATTACTCAGCTGTCTAAGTCTAGGAGAAGATTTTGAGTCCTCTTCTCTGGAGCTGTTTATCAGATTCTTGATTAGGAGGGTGCTCTTTTAAAATAAATCAAAACTAAAGCTTAAAAGTTTGAACTTCAGCAGCTTTAAAAACTAGAAAGAAGAAAAACCCTTACTCTGTAGGTCTTTTTAAGCTATCCCTTAGCTAATTGTAAGACATGCCTTGCATTTTTGGTGGTTAGTGCAAGAGGCTTAGACTTTGTGACTGCTTTGGACTGAGGTTACTGATTGCTTTCCCTTTTTTCTTTTTCTTTTTTTTATTTCAAACAAGGGAAAAACATGTTTATTTTAATTGAACAAATCCATATGCCGTTCCTCAGGCCTTTCTGCAAGTGGAGGTTTTGTTTTGCTGTTGTTGTCTTCTTTTCCAACCTGAATCATTCCATGAGCCCGTGACTCACTGTGTTGGCTGCCAAGGCAAATTTCCTGCAGCTCCATCACCAGCAAGGCTTGCAGACACACCACTCCTGTCCCTTGTTAAGTACTAAGCACTTCTGTATTGTTCCTTCTGATATGTGGAGGCTGAAGAGGGCTGGGGGGTGGATTTTTTGGTTGTTCTCTGTGATATTTAGAGGGTTTAAGTGGACCTGGGGCAGAATTTTCTGTTGGTGTTTGGAAGCTACGATGTTTTCACTTCCACAGCTACAAAACTGGCTCTCCCTGTCCACATGCTGTGCTCAGTGCCCTCTCCCTGGGTGGTGAGAAGCAATTTTTCAGGGAGTAATAAACTCCCTGGTACTTGGCAGGGTGTCTCTAGAAAGTCCCATTGTTCCCCTGCTGCCAACACTGTCCTTCCTCCCAGGAGCCTTCTCTCCCTGCTGCAGCCCCAGCTCGTATTTTCCTTCTTCTTATTAGAGCACTGAAGAAAGTCATCATTAATCAAATGCAAGCACATTTAGCAAAGTTCAATGTGTATGAAAAATTTATGTCAACCTTTAGGCTCTATGACAGTCCCAAGGCTTCACTTAATAAGTTCTATAATGACTTACTGTTAATGGCCGATTCACATTAACTCCTTGAGATCTATTGGGCCTTTCAGTAACATTTTCTATTATTGATTATGGAACTGCTGCACATTACCCAGACACTGAAGCAAAACTATTGTTTACGTTCTTTGCTTTCTAAAATGGAAAGTTGGATGTGGCAAACTATAAAAAGTCACAGAACAAGATTTTCTCTCCTGTTGTGTGGCTCCAGCACAGTGCAATGGTGAATGAAAGAGCAGCTGTTTGTGGGGGCTGGCAGAGGCTCTTGGAAATGAGTGGAAATTTGACATACCTTGTCCATTGATTTAGCAGAAATCTCCACTTCAAAAGCTGTCATCACCCAGCCATCTATCACCCCCCAACAGCCCCAGAGGAGTCAGACAGGATGGCTGAGTGCCCCGGGTTCTGCAGCTTTGTTCTCTAATGAATCATATTTAATCTCAGACATCTAATTTCTTTTGGAATTTTAGCTGGGGAAAAAGGGTTCAGGAAGGTTTCTGACAACACCAAGAACTGCCCATTTCTGCAGCTCCACACAAAGCTCCAGCAAAGGCTTTTCACTAAGCACAATCTCCCCAGATTGTTCAGTTCTCATAATTGTATCGTTTTCCAAAGTCTAGATCCTGTGTACACTATTTAGTACAATGTTTACTACTGTGAATAAATGGCAGCACTCATAATAGCGAGTCTAATGAGGTAACACTGCTGGAATCCAAGTGCTCCCACACTCCTGGAAGCTGCTACGTCACACTGTGTTTAAACATCGTTCAGTGAAGGAACATGAACACTCTATGTGCCTACACACCCTGCCCCTGAACTGCAGACTGCTCTGAAGTGCGTGGTGTCAGGTATGATTCCTCTCATGGAGAAAAACTCCCCCAATAACACCTCAGTGCTTCACTTAGAATTGCTGAAAAGGAATATTTACTTGTTATGACGACTCAAAAAGAACAGACTGTTCCATTCATGCAAGTAACAATATGCAATTGTAGTAAGGATGAAAAAAATAGAAAAATAAATAAAGACATAGGAGTTGCTTAGCAATATTTTTAAAAAGAAAGAAGAAACCAGCATAAATTCATTGTATTGAGAGACATCATGAATCACCAGCAAGGTCAGCACCTACTGTTGAGCCACTATATCATCAAATCATAGGATGGTTTGGATTGGAAGGGACATTTAAAGATCATCCAGTTCCACCCTCTGCCATGGGCAGGGACACCTTCCACTAGACCAGGTTGCTCAGAGCTCCATCCACCCTACCTTGAACACTTCCAGCATGTAGATCAAAAAACAGAAGTTCTTTTTCCGTCTTGCTACGCCCTTCTCCCTTTCCCGTCCCACCTGCGAGACTGAAGTTGCTCCAAGTGCAGAGCAGCAAGTCCAGCAGGAACCCTACAGGACACACAGCCCCAGCAGCACTGAGAAGGTGCACACAGGGTTTGTGCTGTGCCCAGGGGTGCATTTTAAAGGCCCCTAATACTGACACATCTTTTGCATCACCAGCTTCACCTTCCTGATGCTGGGCCAGCATCTTGGTGGTGGGAGAAGTGGACAAGCACATTCAGAAATCTGTTGGCTGCTTTTCAAATGAGATCATAGGATACACAAGCTATTTATTGCCAAACTCTTTACAGAATTAAAAGCTGTGCATAACCCTGAATAGTCCAAGGAGACTACTGCTGGTAAAGTGCTCTCAGCCATAGCAGATAATCAGAAACTTTAGCAAAAAAGCTTTGCTATTAAGTCTGCTTCAAAATAAAAAGGGCATCTGTACTTGACTGCAATAAAAAAGTAGTGCAAAGTGTCTGCGTGATAATAACAGAGACCAGTTTTAATGAGAGTTGGGGAAAAGGAAAGACTAGAATTTCTGACTGTTTATTTGCCCTTGGTGGGTTATGAGATGAAATGAAAGTCCCTGCTTTTTTTAGCACGGAGGTCAGTGTGGAGTCGTGCTAATAAAGGAGCACCAGACTCCCTCTGCACCCATAAAGCTGAGAACCCAAACTAACCCTTGCAGTGCAGTGCATGGAGCCACATGCACTGCAGACACAGCCCCTTCCCATCACACGTGCCAGAGGTGAGCCAAGGCTCAGGGACACTCAGCTGCTCTGTCTGTTGGAAGCTGTGGAGGTCACTGTAATAACCTGGTTCTAAGAGCCCAGGCTGTGACCTTTCCTGTGACCTCCCTCGTAAGCCACAGACTTTATCTTCTTTGCTCCCAGTTTGTTCTGGCTGCAAAATTTGTGAGATGTTCCTGGGAGTCACAAACTGGAATAGTCACTGGTGGCTGAGAGGTCCAGGGCTCCCTGCCTGGTGGACAGGACAGCTGGGCTGCCCTGGCAGCAGTGTAGGTGCCAACCACAGAGCTGCACCTGCCAAGAGAACAGTGTGCTGTGACCACACCACCAAAACCCACCACCCCTCTGGCCAGAAAACATTTTTCACTTTGGGGAGTTGGGAAATGGAGGGACAGAAGCATTTCTAGGAGGGATGCCTGTGTATGAAGGGCAGGCAGCAGGGGAAGGGGAAGAGATCACTTTAAACCATCCTGGTCTCCCTGTCCTTACTACTATTTGTCTTGAAAACTGCTTCAGGGAAGAGTGGGAGGAGAAAAGATTCAGGAAAACTGCTTTTTGTCTGATTGGTACAATGTCCTTTAGGAAAAGAAGTAGAACCTGCAAGACAAGCAAGATAATCTGTGTGTGTGAAGGTGTAAGAGGGACTCAACCCTCAGTGCTCACTCAGCCACCACTCTGATTGCATTGCCATGATGGAGACCCAACACCAAAAAGCACAGCCAGGACAGGCAGGTCAATGTGGGGAGAAGAAAAGGTTGCTCTGTGTCCTGGCAGGTGGGAACAGCTCCATTCACAGGCCCTGCAGGTCTGTTGAGGGTGCAACATTTGAAAGCATCTAGACCCCCACTGACTTCAAATATAATCTCGCAGCTCTAAAACCCTTCTCTCTCATGAGCCCATTCATCTTTAAGAAGAGGGAGAGACTCCTAGAAAACTTTATCTGTTCTCTGCTGCGTTCTTTTCCAACCCTGCTGTGCTCCAGGGCCCCCCTGTGGGTTCAGTGCCTCGGTGCTGTCCGAGCAGTGAGTCTGTCACATCAGAGCATTGCTATAAAACATCATCTATCCTCCAAATCATGAAAGCTTCCCTGCTCACAGTGGAATGGCAGGGAAGCAGAGTGTTCTCCAGATAAAAGACTCTTGCTCTTAATGGGCCAACTTCAGAGTTACTTGTCTGGCAAAGAGTTTCCCCTCTCTCAGAAACTTCAGGTTGAATCCCATCACCATTTAAATTCAGAAGACTGAAATGTTTGCAGGCTTCGTTAGCCCTGATTTCTGACACAAGAGCTCCTCCTCTCCTCGAGGTTCTCCAAGCAGAATTCAATGTGCTCTTTTTATTCTACCCGTGCTACCCCCAGCAAAGGTTACAGGCTTGACTTGTCTCTGGGGTTTTTGTTGTTGTTCTCCCTGAATGATGATATTTTCTTTCTTGATCTCTTTTAGATTCTATTTAAAACATGTTCTGTTTGTCACCCTGAGTACTCTATTAATATCCTTGCAACAAGCACTCGGTGTATTACTCTCGGTTAGGAAAATTTATGGTGTGGGTTTAATTTGTTTCAGTTAAAGATCAGTGTTGTCATGGAGGAGCACAACATCACTCTCACCAGTTTAATGAATAAATAAGGTAAATACTAAATCACTGCTCACTTCTGCAGGTCCTGCTAGTTTACTTACAGGAGCTGTAAGGAACATGGAGATTGCCTGTGAAGGCAAAATTCCTAAAGTTTAGGGCACATATTCCCCAGAAATATGGTCAGATGAATCATTGGAATTACTCTATGGAGAAAGGTGGCCATATGCAAATTCAATGCAGAATGGTCTCACTCTGCCAAGGAAAAGAGAAAGAAAGCCACAGAGGTTTTTAGGGGCTGCCAGTGCATATTATTCAACTTTCATTAACTCTCCTAAGAACAAGCCAGATAATTGAATTTGGAGTCTTGCTGCAAAGCTAAACTGCAGTCCATCTGTTTTCCATCCCCAACAATGGATAGGCCAACATTTACGCAAAAATTTTTTGCTCTAGGATTTGAAGTTTGAAATAGCAGTTACCTCAAAATGTGGTGCATCTTCCCTCTTTCAGAGATGTATTTTGGAGGAGCTTTTTGTGTTCAGGCTTCTCATGGCTGTGTTTGAACACTGCTTGAAATGATTCGAGAGTTTTGCTTGACAAACGGTTGCTGTGATCCAGGGCCCATATGGCTTGTTTTGGAGTGTGTAAAGGTCACTGCTTCTGTTAATACAACTAGTACAAATACTTCCCTGCCATCTGACGATGTTCCTCCTCATTCAGATTGGCAGCCATTTCCCCCCCCCACAATCTGGAATTTCCTCTCAACGTGGGCTGTTGAAGTGGAGATGTAACAGTTTCAAAATCAAAGGTTGAATGCTTCTGTTGAGTTATACTTGGAACCGACCATGTTCTGTACAGTGAGAACATCCCATATGGAAAGGACATATGTGTTGGATACAATAACACATAAATAGTGGATACAATTTTATATAACCCTTATATTCTTGTAGCTGTTACATATAATCCTCTAATGAGACAGGTGAAATAGATGACTTCAGATGACTGATATTTAAGTCCATATGTTGAAAGCTTACACAATAAAGAGGGAGTTTTAAGGACAGATTTAGTTGTACATAATTGTTCAGACATTTGCATTGACATAAGACACTCTTGAAAACCCTGTTGAACTGTCTTTAAACAATAAAACTGGAGACAGCACTGGAACTTCATGTTGAAGATCCTCTCTAGATGGACACACACACAAACACTCACAAATTGTCCAAGATAAACCATTCAGACTAATTTTTTCCCCAGTTTAGTTAGAAAAAACCCCAAAACATTAAGTTTTTGTAGGAATGAAGTAGGTGAGAAATTTCAGTGAAATCGTTTGAGCTCAGATGAAAAGAATTCTGACAATTGCTTTTGTTGTGAAATCTCATCATTGCCAAGATGTGGAGCTCGGCTGTGGCAACTGGCAGGAGGAGAAATAACCACGTCATCACTGAGCTCTCCCAAAGAAAACCAGTGCAAATGCAGAAGACGTCTGAGATTCGAGCAGGAGGAGGGGAATAAATCTCAGTTTGCAGATGGGCAATGAAGACCTGTTATTACTTGGCAGCTAAATTCTCTACAGAGTCTGGGCAGCAAATCTTCCCATCCTGCCTTTGTCCTCCCCAGAGGAGCTTGAGCTCTGAGCTGCCTGTAGAGACAGTTAAAACAGGGTGTGGGAGGAGTCTATGTAATGCATTTTTGTTGATTTTAAAGGAGATTAAATAATTTTTTCTATTC